AGGATCAGAGACTGTAGCCAAGTGGAAGCATTTGAAGCCCAGGAGATATCACGTGAGGTTAGGTGACGGAGGGCTCTAGAGGAGAAGAAGGTTGTAGAGATTGCTTACTTGCCTTATAGTGTTGTCCTACCCCAACAGGTAGACAAGGGCGTGGTACCCCTGGCAGGAACAAACGGTGAAACTACCACCCAAGGTGAGAACTGTTTGGCTCCTTGCCTTGCTGACCGACCCACCCAGGTTGGTGCCCCTCTAAGAGCCATGAGTGGGAGACACTTGCCCCCTCCTCTGCCAGGCTTTGACTTCTCATCCCCTTTCCAGGGCTGGATGGGCTGTCTGAGCGCTGTGCCCAGTACAAGAAAGACGGAGCTGACTTTGCCAAGTGGCGCTGTGTGCTGAAGATTGGGGAACACACCCCCTCAGCCCTTGCCATCATGGAAAATGCCAACGTTCTGGCCCGTTATGCCAGCATCTGCCAGCAGGTGGGCCTGCACATCCCCAACAGGCCAGCTTCCATCTCATTTGGTTCCAGAGTGTCATCTAGCCTGCCACCCATCTGCCAGGATGTCTGCCTCCCCCAAGGCAGCTGCTCCGGCTCCTCACCAGTCATCAGGCTTGAGCCTGTGGAGGACAGTGGGGGGCTTGTGTGGGTTGATCTGAGGAGATCCTGTCTCCTACATCCTGCAAAGCTGAGGGCTTTGAAGCCATGAGTCTCTGTCTTCGTGGAGCTAAGACCTTGGCCTGTGGTTGTGGAGGGCTGTAGGTAGAGCTGAGGCCTCCAGGAGGTCTCATAGCTACTCTGTCCCTCACCCCACAGAATGGCATCGTGCCCATCGTGGAGCCTGAGATCCTCCCCGATGGCGACCATGACTTGAAGCGCTGTCAGTATGTAACTGAAAAGGTAGGTTGCTTCCTGCCTGGGCAAGGTGGTGGGTTGGCAGCTGGGCCAAGGGCCTTGGGGCTGACTCCTGTCCCCCCACCCCACCCCACCCCACGTTGGTCCTGCCCTACTCTAGGTGCTGGCTGCTGTCTACAAGGCTCTGAGTGACCACCACATCTACCTGGAAGGCACCTTGCTGAAGCCCAATATGGTCACCCCAGGCCATGCCTGTACCCAGAAATTTTCTAACGAGGAGATTGCCATGGCAACTGTCACTGCGCTGCGCCGCACAGTGCCCCCCGCTGTCCCTGGTGAGACCCATACTCTCATCTTGCCCTCTGGGAGGTAGACAGACTGTATCCACAATCTTTATGCCTATTGGTCTGGTTTCCAGGTCAGCTGCTAGGAACTCCTAGCAGTCCCCTGGATCTCGGACTATAACCCCTCTCCCCATTTCACCTTTATTTTACAGGGATCACCTTCCTATCTGGAGGTCAGAGTGAAGAGGAGGCATCCATCAACCTCAATGCTATCAACAAGTGCCCCCTGCTGAAACCATGGGCCTTGACCTTCTCCTATGGCCGAGCCCTGCAGGCCTCTGCTCTGAAGGCCTGGGGTGGAAAGAAGGAGAACCTGAAGACTGCCCAGGAGGAGTATATCAAGCGAGCGCTGGTGAGGATGGAGCAGGAGGTGGGCAGAGTGCCGGGGTGGATGGGATTCTGAACACAAACCTTACTCTGGCTCCTCTTCCCTCTTAGGCCAACAGCCTCGCCTGCCAAGGAAAGTACACCCCAAGCGGCCAGGCTGGGGCTGCGGCCAGCCAGTCCCTCTTCATCTCTAACCATGCCTACTAAGCAGAGGTGATCTAAGGCTGCCTCGTGAACACTCCAGGCCCCGCCCCCTCCCACACTCACTCTTGACGAGGCCTCATCCCGGGCTCCAGGCTGCTCTTTCCCAGCACTCCTGCCTCCTTTGTGACATTGGTTGCGTGGTGTTGTCTGTGTATGCCAACTCCAATGCCCTTTCCAGCCCACTGCCAATAAACAACTATTTAAGGGGGAGTTTCTTGTCCATGTTTGTAGTGTCTGGGTCAGGGGAGTGTCTGGGCAGGTGGCCGAGTCCAGAAGAAAGAGCTCTTGTTTTATGCTCTTCCTTCTTGGGTAGGAAAACGGTGAAGGGATGGGGTAAGACTTTCCTGTTTCGTTTTATAGTTGCCCAGGGTTTCAAGAGGAGAGCTTGTGAAATTTTCTTCCAACCATCAGAGGCTCTTCCCCCTTCCACTAGCAGCATCAGATAAGGCTCATAGTCGGGGAGTGTGTATAACTGCTGGTTGTAGGAGGCTGCAGGCTCAGCCTCTTAGGCCTAGACCTCAAGGGTGCAGAAGGCCCTGTGACAAAAACAGCCACAGAGAACAGCTGAGATTTCCTGAGTCTCTGAGCCAGGCAACATGAAAACGTTCTGTATGAGTAGATGTTTTTCCCATTTAAGCTTCAGGCTTTATTGCTGGAGATCACACTCTTTATTGGTGGAAACAAGAATAGTAATGCAGCCTGGCGAGTGTGGTTCAGTGGTTGTGGGTTGACCCGTGAACCAAGAGGTCCTCGGTTAGATTCCCACTCAGGGCACTTGCCCGAGTTGTGAGTTCGATCCCCAGTGGGGGATATGCAGGAGGCAGCTGGTCGATGATGTTTTTCTCTTGATGTTTCTGTCTCTAAAAAATCGATAAAACATACTTTCTTTTCCTTAACGAATATTCATGCAGCCCTGCAGGTGTGGGCCCAGCTAGGTTTCAGAGGTGGAGTGTGGACTTAGGAACCAGGAGGTCATGTTTCGATTGCAGGCTCGAACTCCCTAGGGCAGCCGTGGGCAAACTACGTTTGAAATGAATAAAACTAAAAAAAAAAGAGACCGTACCCTTTTATGTAATGATGTTTACTTTGAATTTATATTAGTTCACACAAACACTCCATCCATGCTTTTGTTCCGGCCCTCCGGTCCAGTTTAAGAACCCATTGTGGCCCTCAAGTCAAAAAGTTTGCCCACCCCTGCCTTAGGGGCATGCGAGAGGCAGTGGATCAATGATTCTCATCATCGGTGTTTCTAACTCTCTCCCTGTCCCTCTCTGAAACCAATAAAAAGATATTTTTAAAAAAGAATATTAATGCATATTTCCTTAATCTACACTGTTGAGCTTGTCAGTCTTCCCATTTTAATAGGAAATGGGATTAAACTGGCTACTTAGTCTTCTTGGGCTGTGGAACCCCTTGAAGAATCTGGAATCCTCTCCAACACCAACAATGTGCACAGACAGAACTCAGGTTCCAGGTTAAGAACAGAGCCTCTAGCTGCTGCATTCCATGGAGCCAGAACGAGGGCCCTGCACTTACCCTGTCATGCTGTTGCAGAAAACCGGGGAAAAATCAAGCAACACTTAAGAGTTTGGAATTACACTTTTTTTTAAAATCACCGGTGGGCTTAGAGAAAAATAAATTCAAATTCTAAGCAGAGCTACAAGCAGAATTTTCCTTTTTATTAAAGAGCCAGCCCTATGTGTGCTTCGTGGTTATCTCGATGGAAGCTGTGGTCTTGAAAACAACACAGTGATACCCAATTAAAAAATACATCTGGTATGGCTTGCGAGTATGGGCGTGTCTAGTGTCTGGCCTACAAGGTCAGACAGCTAAGTTTATCTTCCTCATTATTCAAGCAGCCTAGAAAGCAAAGTTATATTTTTAGAATAAGAGGCTGTCTAAAACATAGAGAATTTCAAACAGTAGTTTTACAAAATAGGGGTTAGCCTTCTCAATGCCTCGGACCCTCCCCCAGTCACCCAGGCTGGGTGCAGCAGTTAAATACACCAGATATTCTCAACTGTTGAAGATCCTAGTCATAACCAGGGATCTGGTATTCCTGCCACTTCTCAGATTTTCTGATATGGACCCTTTCCTGTCTGAGCTCCCTTCTAGAGGAAAAAAAAACACCTTGGCCTTCTGATTTCTGGGGACCTACTAAATCCATGTAGTGATAGGTATAGAACTGATTAACCCTAGGACCTTCTAGGAGTTTAAGAACTTGGCCCTTTCCTTCTCTGTACATTCCTATATGTTGCCGACATACAAAATCAACCCTCTCCCAGAGCCCCTGCAAACTCTGGCCCTCATTCTGTGTCTACCGTCAACCCGGAAACACCTGAAATAAAGCAAATGAAAACTGAAGGTCGATGGAAGACGGTGAAAAGGACATTCCAAAAGGGAGCACCTTGTACAAGACCCGTTTAAGGACTAGTTGCTTCCTCTGCCTGCAGGAACAGAGACTAGGGGAGCAGAGGAACTCGAATACCACTGCAGGGAGCTTTGGGCTTCTTATGACTGAACTCTGCAAAGTGTGATCGATGGGTGGAAGCTAAATCAGGACACAGCTGTCCTGGGTTCAAATTTCAACCCTGACTCAAACCCCAGTTCTTAGCTATGCAAATGTGAACAAGTTACTTAACCTCTCTAAGCTCGTCTCCTCCTTTAAAAAGAAAAGGAATAAAATGGGAAGACGACAGAAAGCAACGGAGGGGTGTCAAGGGGACCCCTGGCGGAGCCGGCCGGGCCTCGGCCTCCCCAACTGAGCCGGGGGCGACCCTGCCCGGAGATCGCACCCCACGGCCACAGTGACTTCCGCCCGAGGCTGACTTCCGGGTCCCGGCTCCCCTCCGCCCCGGCCCGGAGGTGGGGGCGGGGCGCGGCGCGGGGCAGGGCGTGTATGACGTCACATCCGACGCGCGGCGGAACTCGCCTCCTTTGCTTCCGCGGAGGGGCCGGAAGTAGAAGCGGCGGCGGCGGTGGCGGCCCGGAGCTGAGGGAAGGAGGGGGAAGGCGGGGAGCCCCGGAGCCGGAGCCGAAGTCGCAGCGGCGGTAAGAGCCAGGGGACCCCCTACTA